AAAATATTTGTAGTTGTTTAATTATTAAAAAAATTTTGATTGAAATATGAGATAGGAAAATAACTTAATTATAGTTGTAATATAATAAAAAGAATATGCTAAAAATATTATGTATTTTTTAAAAAAAAATTTAATTTTTGTTGAGTACAAGTATACTCGATACCCGACAGAGACAAGGATGGGACAAAACTTATACACTCGATGGGTAAGGATACGAGGATGGATGGAATGAGTTTGAGCCGCAAAGACGAAGATGAGTCCAGTGCTATCCCTAAACCCTAAACCCTAAACCCTAAATCCTAAACTCTAAACTTGTATCCAGTGCTATCCCTAACAACAAACACAAGTCCAACTTAATGGAGTTTGGAGGGATCTACAAAATAGTGATTATGAGGCTAATCTTTGACAAAAACTTAATGAAATGGTCACTCAAGAAGAATTTCTCTATTTCAGAAATTTAAAAAAACATGTTAAAATATAAATACTTTAATTATCTTTAAATTAATATTTAATTTTAACAAAAATTTAATTTTACATATAAGATAATATGAAATTATAATTTAGCAGATGAATAGACAAAATTGAAATCTTTTTCTAATTGGAAAAGGATTTATTTTATTTTATCTTTAATATTTTAATCTTATTTTATTTTTCTGTTTATCATACTTAACGTTTCTCTTATATTATATATCTTCTTTTGACTTTTTTTATATTGTAATATAAATATAATTTGCAATTTTATCAGTATTTTATATTATTAAAATCGATATGTTTCATTAAAATTTCTAATTCTTTAAATTTTGTTTCAATTGTGTTTGATAATTTTATATATTATTATTATTTTATTTGGAAGGGTAGCGGCATGAAGGGTACCTAGAATTTTCCTGCTGTGATAGCCAAGAGTGCCAAGTCAAGTCAATAGCCAAGTAACAGTGCGTGGCTTGACAACATCAAGGAAACGTGTGGACTACGGAGGCGTAGTTGACACGTGAGTCGTGACAAAGACAAGGGCATGTGATTGAATGGGTGGTGCATCAAAGAAAAATATGATTTAATCAGTCTATATAATTATTATATAATTAAAAATTATAATAAACTATATATAAAAATAAATATTATATTTAAATATATCAATTTTTTTAAAATATATAAATTATATTTTAAAGTTACAATAAATAATTTATTTATAATATGAAATTGTTGCTAATTATTTGTTATTTATTTTAAAAATAAAATTATGATTGTAAATAAATAAAATAAAAATTGAATTAGATAAAAATTAAAAGAAATTTTAAAAATTCTCTAATTGAAAATATAAAAAAAAAACGATTATGTTAAAATCAAATTGAAAACGCTTTCAAATACAAGATAGTTAAACTACCAAATTTTTATTTTATTTTATTGTTTAATTGTTTTTTATTTTATAGTAAAATTATATTCATTTTTAATGAAGAAAAAATTTACTTACTTCAATAGTAAGTCTTGATAGATTTATTCTATTTAATAATTAATGTTCTATATCAAATTTTTAAGAATTTAATTGTTAAATTAAAAAGTTTTTCATGTATAGATCAAATTTATAAAAAAATTTAAAAAATTAAAAATCATATAATACTTCGTTAAATTAATTCAAATTAACATATAAAATATTTTTGTTTTAAATGAATGTAAAAATTTAGAGGACACTAAAAGAAAATAAATTAATAATTTTATTATGTTTATCCTATTAATTTTTATCATTTTATTCCTCTAATTTTAAATAAGTTACAAAAAATTATAAAGTGACACTTAAATATTTCTT